TGAGACATGATGTGTTTGTGTGTGTGAGACATGATGTTTGTGTGTGAGACATGTTTGTTGTGAGACATGATTTTTGTTTGTGAGACATGATGTTTGTGAGACATGATGTGTTTGTGTGTGTGAGACATGATGTTTGTGAGACATGATGTTTGTTTGTGAGACATGATGTTTGTGTGTATGAGACGTGATGTGCTTGTTTGTGAGACATAATGTGTTTGTGTGTGTGAGACATGTTTGTGTGTGAGACATGACGTTTGTGTTTGTGAGACATGATGTTTGTGTTTGTGAGACATGTGTTTGTGTGTGTGAGACATGATGTTTGTGTGTGAGACATGATGTTTGTGTGTGAGACATGATGTTTGTTTGTGAGACATGATGTTTGTTTGTGAGACATGATGTTTGTGAGACATGATGTGTTTGTGTGTGTGAGACATGATGTGTTTGTGTGTGTGAGACATGTTTGTGAGACATGTTTGCATGCGTGAGATATGACACGATTTTTGACCATTTTCCCGGTCTGCACAGCCTTGTGTGGACCAGCTGTTCCTTATCAGGAGAAAAKCCCGGTCCTCARTGGGGAAATACTGTTGGGGTTCAGGGTTAGGGTCAGGACTAAGGTTTAGGGTAATCAGTCAGGTTTAGGCTACAGAGATGACCAATAAATGAATGGAAGTTAATGCAAAGTCTCCACCAGGATAGAAGAACCGTGTGTGTGTTTGATTCTGCGCCTGCCTGTGTGAATGACAGAACAATCAGCGGTGGCCTCAACAGGAGAAATATACACACTATAACTGAACTGCAATCTCACCCTGATCCTCTCTGCCCCCCCCCCCCCCCCCCCCCAAACACAGAAACCAAAGCAGAAAGACTGGCATCCCCCTGATGGCTTCATCCTGGGCCTGTGGACTTTAATCCTTCTAGTGTTTTTCAAGACTTACGGCATCAAGCATCTCAAACACATCTTCTGAGGGTCGGCGCTCGCACAGCTGGACCTGTGAGGACTGGAAGACTTTACTGAGGGATGCTGGGGTTAAGGTGCAGTTTGTCACGGGCTTACGGTGTTATCTCACTGGACTGAGACTGTTGGGGGACTGATGATGTGAGAAAATATTCCTGCTGCAGTTTTATTCATTTCTGAGTTTACCAAGGCTGTGTCTCAGTTCAGAGGCTGCTTCCTTCRAAGTCCCACAAAATCCTGAAAATGAGGTCTGAGTATCCTTTCCAGTCGAGGATATCCCAGGATTCATTGCACTGTCAGTAAACTAAACAAGTCGGTGTAGTTTGTTAATCCATCACAGACTAAAGAATTTGTTTTTAAATGTATGTTTAGCATCTGAGCTGATGAAATTTAATCTGCACTAAGATGTTAAATAAAATCCCACTTCATGCACTGATCGTGGAGCTAAACTCAAATTATTAATGTTTTCTATTTATTTACCTGTAACATTTTTTATTTGTGAAGTTAGAACGCAGCAGCGCGGGGTCACGCAAAAAAAGACGTCACCTGAAGGCTGGACCGTCTCAATTCACAGCCTCTGAATCGAGACGCAGTCAGCCGGCGAGCTGATCGGACAATTTTTTAATTTGTCATCTTGTTTTTGTGTTCATAGCTGTATTCTTGGCTGTGAACATTATTTTGTTGCCCAAAAACTTTTAGGACGGGCAAATGTGGTACCATTTTCTGCATGTTGAATTGTATTTTTTTTAAGACCTGGATATATTTGTTTTGGTCAGAAAATTGTTCCTGTTCAGGTTTTAAACATGTTCACACTGCAAAAACTGTCCATCTAACAAAGTGTTGCAATTTTATATCCAGCTCCAGCTTTTATTTGTATTCTGGGGATAAAAAGGGGCAGATATTATAAGATTTATTCTTCTTCTGCTGCCTTTGATTTTATTAGCTTTTTTGATTGTATGTTTTTGTTTTCTGTTGTATATAAAATTGTTTTAAAGCGCCTGTGACCTACAATTTTTTCAATAAATATAAATGCATTTTTGGAAAGACAACATTAACAACATATTGCAAAAAGAGTTTCACGCTGCTGAGATAAACAGTTGTTGAGATATTCTCATTTGAAGTAACAGGAAGTGATGTCAAAGGGGAATGTCTGCATGTAAACAAAGTGTTGTTACAATAACAACAGACTGGAGAGGAATCTGATGTTTTTTAGATTATTTTTAATAAAGACCAGAGAGTTTACTTTCTTAAAGTTCCCCTTTGATGTCACTTCCTGTTTCACTTTAGCTGAGCCGAGTTCAAAAGAAAATATGCCATTTTTGTTACAAAATGGATAAAATCGTGTATTATGTCAAGTTTCCCTAATACAAAGATGTTTGAATTTTTTGCATTTGAAAGATATGCTTGTCTCAGGCACTTTAAATGTAATGAATAAATTAAAAAAAAAGTTTGATCTTGTTTTGAGACTGATTTCCTAAACTAGCAGATGTGTTAAATTTTTATTCTTCTCAGCCTGGAAATGTTCCTTATTTCAAGAATTAATTTTCAGGCTAATAAAATTAATACTCATCTTTCATATTATCTTTCATATAACTGTTCAGCCGAGCATCTAAATCGATTGTAGAGCTAAACTTWGCAGAAAAAGTAAAGAAATGTGTTTGGTTGATGATTTCTTTAATGCAACAATGATGCTTAACAATAAATCTTATATTGGCAGCACCTGGGGTTAGCAGAAGCTCAAAACAAGAGTGAAAACAGCAGAATGAGACGATGTTTCTAACCCACACACTCAGCTCTGCTGCTTATCCCACAAATGCACGTTCCTTACAAATGTGGCACCATTTTTTAAATCKAAATGAACCGGCTTTCCAACAGTCAAAGATTTATTACCAAGCAGCATTGTTACAACAAAGAAATAATCTACCAAGCACAGATTTACTTATGAGTTTATTTCATGTTTTGCGTCTCAAGGACATGTACAGATGTATTTATTTGTGGCATAACGCTGAGTTTTGTGTCACATTGATACGTTTTAAAATGCACTAAACCGAGCCCGCAGCTAATTTAATTTACTTTGAGAGCGCGCCGCTCTGCATATTTCAGCAGCAGCAGCTTATTTGTTTAAGTGCTACTCGATACGTCTGCTGGGTCAGAAAAAAACCATGCATCGAGAGCCGGCTTGATTGGCTGTGAGAGCGCCCCCACCTCCCCCCGCTCGTATACGTTACACTCATCGACCATCCATGTTGCCTGTTAGAAGATAACAATCGCACATAATCCCATGGCGCATGATGAAGCTCCCCACTTTCMCGCTCACTAAATTGTGTTGTGTGTGGAAGTGCCCATTAGCTCCCCTGCCATGCGCGCTGCTGATTGTGTTCTGGGTGATGGACAGCTTCTCTGCACACCGCTCTGCAGCTGCAGGAAGCGAGCGAGAGCCGCCGGCTGACCTGAGCGAATCTCCTTTCTTTTCCTGAGTGTTTGTTTGTTTCAGTCTTTGCCCTGCCTCACCTCCTGTAACCACTCTGCATTAGGCTCATTGTTCGGAGGTGTTGTGGGTGATTGATCCTCGAGGTGTAAAGATTGAACCTGCAGTAGTTTATCACCAATGCTTGGTGCGAGGACCGCCCACCGGCCGCCTGCTGCCAGTCGACCTCCAGGCTGAAATGGAGAACGGATGCAGTTGGAAATGAAAGCATACGTACCGAACAGCAGCTGCTGCGTCAGCCGCACCGTCTACCTTTTTTCTTATACATTATTTATGCAACACTTCCCTCCTGGATTCATCCTTACTTCCTGTAATCTCATTCCACTTTCTCCCTGTTCTTACAGAAAGAGCAAACACCATGTTTTTTCTTTATAAAGAGAATAAAAAGCTTTTTATGTTTGRTTCGTTTGAGCTTACTTAATCCCATCCATACACACGACGCGTTTTAAACTCGAATGTGTTTTAATGCCACAAAGACATCCTTGGAGTACAGCTTGAGGTGAAAACTGGGAAACATTTCAAACAAAGGCTTTAAAACCACTTGTCWGTGTGAAAAGCTCGAGCAGCAGTGTGGACATCCTCACCTGCCTGGCAGCAGGGACAATCAAACTTAAAGCTGCTGCGCCTCACCTGGCACCGTTTGATCTTAAACCCACTTGGACTCCACGTCCTGCGTTGTTCCTGTTCCCACTCAGCAGATGGAACAGAAAAACGCTCCACTCCTCCTCGCTATGGTTTCTTTTTGCTAATAGAGACCAGTGTCTGTCGCACACCGGGGACAAACCGGTGACAGGATGACGTCGGAGCTGCCGTCTCTGAGGAGGAATGAAAAGTCGGCCATGATGGTTTGTGAAGATCCTGCAGGTTCAAACACCTGGACCAACACRACTGTGTTTTTAGGCTGAAGCAGGTAATAAAGTTTTACAGTAAGTCACTTTAAATCCACAACTCTGTGACGTACTGGAACTACAGGTGAGTCAAAAGTCTCAGGACACACTTTTATTTCAGAAACAATCTGAATACTGTAGCAAGTACTGGGTGGGGGGTCTGTCTTTAAGGGTATCTGAAACATGATCATTTTGAAATCGGCCATTTTTACTCAAAGTCAGATTTATCCAATGAGAAGGTGTTTGTCCATTAAAGGGCCAATATTATGTGTTTCTCAGGCATATATTTACATACTATACCATAATAAAGCATCTATGTCACATTTAGTTGTTATTAAAATGCTGGTTTTATATTTAAATAGAAAATGAACTTATCTTCTCATCACTTCCTCTTCTAAACGCCTTGAAATTGGCCTCTGTCTCTTTAAGAACCACCTCCTGCTTCTGTTCCATCCTGTTCGGTGGGGGATTCGCAGGCTGGGGGCTCGTGCGCGTGCTATGATGCAGTTTACTCGGCATCTGAAAATACATTTCCTCAAAGGCATTTTTAATCAGAAAAGAGCTTAACTGGTGAGAACTAATGTTGAGCTCAGCAGACAGTTAAGTTTCACTTTCAATTTCACCCGAGAGYCTGCAGGAGGGGGGAGGGGTGCGCTCTGCCATGAGGAAACTCGGCTTAAAGACACRTCCCAGGGGCGTTTCTGGTCCCAAAAGGTGTTTCTGGTCCCCACCTGTCRTTTTGCTCCTCTGCATGGCTTCCTAAAAACGCTGCAGGATTTCTCAAACATGCWTGAATGAGTCAGAGCAAGGCTTTGGGCAGGTTTTTATGAGGTATAACATTATAACATGATATAAAMCTCAAAAAGTTGATTTTACATGATATTGTCCCTTTAAGTTTGTCTCAGAAATCGTTTTCCACAATCCGATTTGTAATATTTCCTGTGGTTCAAAGAAAGTTGCAACAACTTGTTCAATCTCTCTGTCCCTGGTGCTGAACTGAGAAACTGTGTTCAGCACCAGGGACAGAGATGGTCCAGATTTACAGGATCTCTGTCCCTGGTGCTGAACTGAGACACTGTGTTCAGCACCAGGGACAGAGATGGTCCAGATTTACAGGATCTCTGTCCCTGGTGCTGAAC